TTTAATTTTTTTTTTTTTTTTTTTTTTTTTGTAGTTCAAAAGACATTAGTTTTGTTGTTTGTGCACTAAGTAGACGATTTTCTAGTTCAAAATAAATTTATAAGTTTTCCGTTGTTTATTAGAAAATATTGAATTGCATAACAGCAGCCAGAAGCAGTGATGGCAATACCAACAACCATGGCTGCCAACATTATTATTAATTTTTGATATTTTCCTCCATTTCTTCCCATTTCGCCTCGTAGCTGTTATATGCCGTCTCTAATATTGCACATAAATTTTATAATCGAACGTGTGGAAATTTAATATATTTTCGAATTTTCAGTTTATATTTTGTGCATATTTCAATGCAAATTATTAAAAAAAAAATTTATAATAATCACAAAAAAATTTTGACATCAATTTATACTATTTGATTTTCCTCGAAAAATGGAGTCATGCGATTCAATGAAATCCATTTCTTTGTTCAGTCTTATAAAAAAATATATAGAAAAAAATATATTTATAAATTTAATTTTATTTAAAAAGCAAAAAGAAGCTCCTCTGTTCACATAAATTGGATTAAACTCAGTCCCTTTATTCCGCTTAAAGGTATTAATCATCAAGAAAAAATATGTATTTTAAAAAAATTAAAGATTTCAATAGATTAATTTTTTTTTGATAGTTCACCTGATCTTTTTTGTAGCAAAGCGAGACTTCTTGTCTGGTGGCAAAATATATATATATATATAAAGCTTACACCTATGGTATTTTCGCCGTCTGTCGTACATTATTTGTATCGACTGGTATCATTACTTTTATAAATTGACTCACATATCATAGTGGATCACTTAAGTCACACAGTCTTTATTGTGTTAAACTGTTAGAGATAAAAAATTGTTCCTTATCAAACACCACAAGCAAGCAAGTAAAAATTTGTTTTGACATTAGTTCCTATATTATTAGTTCCTATATGTATATATACCCTTCCTAAATATGCCAATTTATGAACAACTACCACTTAATGATGAAGTTAACTATTTCTTTTACTTAAACTTCAATTTAATAGATTTATAAACTTCTAGTTTGATTTTTATTTGTATCTTCTTAGTACTCATATCTCCTAGTAGGGCATAAGGCCGCAATGATTCTCTTAAACCGCACTCTGTTAGGTGCTTCTCTGCATATATCGTTCCATGTGAAGAGCGGTTCTGTCATTTTTCTTCCAACTATTCTTCTCCAAGTTAAAGATGTTGCACCCGACAGCTAGGACATGTACAAAAAATGTACTCTAATAAGCAATTGGCAATCATTTTTTCTTCGCAGATAGAAGAAAGAAGACAAAACAAAGTAGATGTACAAGTTAAATAAGACTGTCTGTAAAATACTGAAATCTAAAACTTGTTGTTGGGAGAAGTATTTAGAACTAGGATACTAAGAATACGATGGTCATGAATGCATTGCTTTTGTTTAGAAAGTTCTAAACAAATTGTGTTTTATTTTAACAACTGCATTACTGCATTATTTTTAATTTATTATTAGATCAGAAATCCATAACCATAGATCTAAGATATATATAAACACGTATAGAATTGATTTGTAGTCGTGGCAAAAAAACATTGCTATAAGAGATTTCGCATAGAATGAAGAACATTTAATAAACCTTCCTGAAAAAGGCTCATATAGAATTTAACAAAGTAAAATTAATTGTTTACTTTAACTGAATAATAATTTTATTAAAAAGTTTATAATGGATTAGATTTTAGCTGTTTTTCATTAACTTTTTTTGATTAATATTTTTCATCAAAATTAAAAAACGCAACGTGCCTATCAAAAACCACATTAGGAAGATATTCTATTTTAAAATGAAATATTGAATAGGCATTAGTCTACTGATCATAAATCTGTCATCTGTTTCTTTTGATCGCATAATTGTTTATAGTAAGTCTCATCTTTACTTTTCTTCAAATAGTCAGAACTGGTTAGTATTTCTTTTGGTTCTATTATTACTTATACATCACCTTTACTTTTCTTGAGGGTGATAAGTTTTTGTTATAAATTTATTTAAATATATATTTGATTAAAAAATTCATCTCTATGACTTTTATAATCATTTACACACCCAACTTAGTCCATTTATTAAATATAGTCTCCCTTTAAATGTACAAGTTCTTTTCTGCTCACATTTAACTTTAATTTACTCTACTGTATCTCATTTGCTATTCACACTCCAATATATCAAAACAAAAGCATATGCAGAACGTCCCACTGACAGACACCGAACCAACACCGAACCGACAGAAAGTAAGATAAACACACACTCCCTACATACCTAGAGAGCAATACATTATGTGTGCTTTATTTTTAGCATTGATAAAAAAATGTATATCCCTCCTTCTTGGTTTTAATTAATATCAATTGAAAATGAAATTGATTGTTTAACCTTTGCATTACGCAGTATAACCTTTACACAACGGCGATATCAGTCCGCAGAGCGAAAGGCTTTTCCACTTTTACGTTCGTTTGGTATCTGAGATATTTCAGCATTCCAAACTGCTTTACAAATTAGCACAGAGATTAATTTAATGGTGTTTTGTATTATTTTATTTTATTTTATTTTATTTATTATAGTTACTATCTTTAATTAAGCATTTAATTTATTTAAAAATACTAAATAAATATAGAAATGAGCGCAACTTACTTTCAAGGCCTCAAATTTTTGACTGGTGATTAGGGTTAAAGGAAAAATTTTTTCAAAAAATCTTTTCAACCGAAGTAAATACAAGTTTGATTTGCTTTAATTAATAATTTTGGTTTAAATATAATTGTGTAACATTCTAAGAATATTCTTTGCAATATTAATATTATGAAACTGTCGAACAAAGAACGCCTTGGGCCTTACGTAGTCCCAATGGTTTTTTTTTTTGTTTTCTGTGGAAAGTAGAAACATCAACAGCCACACTATGATACTTTAAGCCACTAAAATCACCTCTTAGGGGTGAGCGAAGGCTTAGTGCCTAGGGGTCTAGTTTTATCTAAATCAGAAAGCGTAAGCATGGTGTAGCTAGATTAGCAGTAGGTGAAACGCACGAGGTCTTGAAGACTGTGGATAGCATTTATAGTAAAATTAAGTAGATAGTTTTAACTTGATCTCTTGGGAATGAATAAGAAGGTTTCCACGACAATGTGGAAACTTCATTCCAGTAATTGGGCGAGAGAGATATAAGCGAAGGGTTACTGCCTAGGGGACTAATTTGATCTAAACCAGAAATCCT